TCTCTCTCTCTCTCTCTCTCTCTCTCTCTCTCTGCCCTCAGGATGCCCCATTTCCTCAGCCTCCCATAATCCTCTTGGTCGTGCGGCGGCATCCCTTTCAGCAGCAGCAGGAAATTCCAACGCGACTGTATTTTGCCAATAACATCAGCACAGCTTCGCTAATTTAATCAACAACAAAAAATTTCGCCCCTATCACGACAGTCGTGTAATTTTTTTATTTTTTGTTTGAGACAAATATTTAATCAGTTGCTGGCTGAAAACTAAATACAAGCTAAATTCCTCTCGAGAAAAATGAACTCAGACTACTGACGAGAAAATTTTTACTGTATTGCTTGGCAACAAAGATCAAATGTTATTTTTGAAGAGAAAAATTATCCTATAATTGAAATTATTTAGTAATATGGCTTTTTATAGAGAGACCTGAAGGAGCAATGCTGCGAGCTCAGAAAAGTCTACATGACATGCTCCCTCGGTGGCTGTTCAATGAGTACCTGAGGCTGCATTCCAGGGTGCAAAGCAGTGTCGCAAGAGGAGTACTAGAGGTAGAGCGAGATAAACGTGAAACGGCGCCTCACCTAGTCGATCGATTTTCGACTTAAAATATAATCGTGTTCAAAGCAACATTCCTTACAGAAAAGGTTCGGGTACTCTAACGTGTGGGTATTCCTTTGACATACGTTCATTTATTCCTGCCTCTCTCCTCTTTCTTTAGAGCCAACAGAGAGCCAGCAGGCAGGCCAGCCAGGCCGTCACAGAAACATGGCGGATAAGCTCTTGTTGACCTGTCGGATTTGCTCTCTCTCTCTCTCTCTCTCTCTCTCTCTCTCTCTCTCTTTCTCTCCCTCTCTCTCTCTCTCTCTCATGTACCAGTATCTCGCGCGCGCGTATAGACGGAAGGTCTCTAGTGAAGCATCTTGTAACGCTGCATTCCCCTCTCTTCCTCGCCCAGCCCAAGCCCTCTCTCTCTCCCCCGAGGGACTCGCCGCCGGGGAGGCTCATGCTGTCAGGCCGCGGCCCGCCCCGACCCGCCTTTAGGTGTCTCTTTAAAAATACATTTTTCACTCCTCGCTCGTATACAAATAATTTGTTCTTCGCGCCTCCGTTTTCCCAAAGAGGTTAATTGGGGGGCAGACAACACGACCGGCTAAACAAATCCAGGGACGTCCGCAAAACTCATTTCTTTCATAAGCAAAAAATATTTCATGTGAAATTTTCGCATCACCCCGTCCTCCAAAAAAAAAAAAAAAATCCTTGCTTAATTCGTGACGCGCGCTCAGAGCAGCTGGCTGGTGTTTCGTCTACGCGCTCCTGGTGCACGGCAGACAATACACACTAGGCCATTCATCCCCGTCCCCTGCGGTCCCCCGGTCCTCCCCCGGTCCTCCCCTGGTCCTCCCCCGCCTCGCCTCCCGATCCCTGATCCCCTCCGCGGCTGATCCCTCCGCCGATGCGACCGAGCGACTCTCTGGCTGGCGATTGTCACCGTGCCAACAATGGCCACGCCACAATGGGACCCGGCCGCGGCCGCCCCGGCAGACTGGGGACGCCTAAAATGGACGCCTCGCGTGGCGTCTGGACGGACGCCCCCCAGAGATGGACGCCGAGGACGGTGCCCGGCGCGAGGGGCGCCAGCTAACGACCTCCAAGGACGCCTCGGGGAAGTCCCAAGCGGCTGCTCCAAGACCCGCGGCCTGTGGCACCTGAATCCTGCACATTCCACATTTGCAAATCATTTCTAGCTGAGCATTGTACGTTTAGTGTCTGGACGTCCGGACCGAAGCTTTTTCGTTGCACTAGGAGCTAAACGGAGCTCCTGTTTAGCGCCTATCCCAAGATAATTTGTTAGGTACGCAGGGATCCATTGAGTCGGCACAGCAAACTCAATGTAGAGGTAATTATTTAATTTAGTGCTGGAGCAAATTGGCAGGAAAAAATTTTCTTAGTCTACATACCCTGGCGCAGGTACAAATATGTCTAATTTTTAAACCCGGAATACAAACGCCAAGGGGTCCCTATGAGATCTAGAATGCCAGTCCTAAACCAAAGGAGCTGACATTTCGTCAGGATGAAGACAATTTGTTTCATACTGTCGTATTAAAAAATTGCTGAACGTGACACGCACGCAAAAATCGGTAAGATGTGAATAAAAGATTTCAGCATAGAAGCAGCAGCATGGCTCCCGCGCTGGGAGGTCCTCAGCTCCTCCGCGGACTCATTTTTTAATACAGCCTAATCCCAGTGGCGTAGACGCGTTCGACTAGACGTAGGATATTTATTAGAAGTCACCCGGGCTGCGCCAGCGGGCGCGTCGGGGCGTGACCTCAGGGCTGCGTCCGCAGCGGTGGCACCTCTCTCTCTCTCTCTCTCTCCCTCTCTCTCTCTCTCTCTCTGTCGCACACTCCCGCGCAAACGGCGGACTTGAACTTGGACGCAGCCGGGCGGCCCGCGGGCGGCTCAGACCTGCCACTGTAAAGCCCTGCAACAGGTGTGGGAGGGCGGGACAGAGAGACCACACACCACACACACGGTGAGAGGGAGACGGGTCCAGAGAGAGAGAGAGAGAGAGAGAGAGAGCGGGGGGGGGGGTGAGTGGTGCCAGCGGGTGAAACTTTCGGACATCGTTAGAGATTAATTTAACGTTCAAAGTTGCACATTGACTATATGACTATCAAAAGCAAGGGCAGCCCACGAGCGGCAACTTTTAAAGGAATAAAACGTTATATCAAACTCACAAGGGAGGTACCAGAGACTGCCGCTGCCGCTGCAGGGCGAAACGTTTAATATTTCACCGGCATTTCCTTCCGGTTAGCGGTGGAGGTCGGGGGCTGCACACGTCAGCCATGATTCGGCCCGTCCAGCGAGGCCTTCCTTGGGGCCCCCGGCCCGGCTCACGCGTGGGGGCCCCAGGGAGGGCACACAACCACATACGCACATACGCGCACGCACACACAAATACATACACACACACACACGGCAGCAACCGCAAAATGAAATACATAAAAAACAAACTAAGAAATAATTCCCGGCAAAACGTATGGCTCCCCGGGGATGAGATGGCGCGGGCGACATGACATCTGCGCTGCCGGCTGCCTTTGGAGCCGTGTGCGTGTGTGTAAAAGAGAGAGAGAGAGAGAGAGAGAGAGAGAGAGAGAGAGAGAGAGAGAGAGAGAGAGAGAGAGAATGAGAGAGAGAGCCTTATGCTGCTCTCTCCCCTCGGTGGCGTGGGCGGTGTCAAGGGATCGAACCATCGCATGTGCGGCGATGGGAAGTGACAGTCCCGATGCGAGAGAGGTGTGCCGGGCGTATGGGAATCACGACAACACCCTTCTGGAGTGTACACTACAGCCCCGAGTCCCGAGTGCCTCCATGGAGCTTCAGTGCCACCAGAACCACCCTCCTCTCGAATGCACAGCCCCGAGTTCCTCCAGTGCTTTCATTGAAGTATGCCACCACAACCACCCTGTGGAGTGCACAGCCCCAACTGCCTCCAGGAGCTCCTGCTGAAGTATGCCACCACAACCACCCTCTGTTGCTACGCGTCCGCACTCACCCGTCGCGCCGTCGCCCTCTTCATGATTGGAGGAGATTGGAGGCGAATCGAGCCAATCAGAGGGACTCAGCCGTCGTCCAGACGGTGACTGACGTTTCCGTTGTAGGAGCAGAGTAACCGCAAAGTCCTAGGGCACACCGCAAAAAAAAAGACAGACTTACAATAGCGTCATATATAGGACAATTGATAAATGTGGTACTTTTTGGCACTGACATTTGGAAATTCTAGTCCTAAGGTAATCAAATAACACTTTTACTGCGGCAGGATCATAATGTAGCCATGCCATGTGGTCACGCTTTGCTCGTTTATATACCATGCCCCTTTCTAATGCAGTGGAGCAGCAATAAACGAGTTAACGAAAGAAGTTACACATTTGAGTGCCTTCAAATCGAAAACATTTTGATAAAGCTGCCATGCTGGCAAAAAGAGATAGGGATTGTTATTTTCCTGAAATTAATCCTCAGGCAATTTCTCAAGAAATTCATTTTAAATTCCCTTATTTTCGCCTGAAATTTGTCATTTTCTTCAATTTTCATGGAACTCTTTCGTTAAAAATATCTGGGAAAGTTCACAATCCCTCCGGGAATAATTTCGGGCTTAGATAGTCCTTACTATCTTGCAAGTTTTAAACTTGTGATATCTTTCCAACTCGCTCTCAGTCTGCTGCGCTGGAAATCCTTTTTCTCACTCTCATGCCCAAGTGGCCATGATGGGGAGTGACAGCAGCCAATGGCGACGCAATGCGACCGCGGCCCGTGCCGTGCGCTCCTTTTCTGCTGAGTAATCCCACCCGCATGGCAGAGGAGGCGACGCGCGCGTCCGAAACGCGCCCGAACGACTTCCTCGGACGCCTCCGCCCATCCCCATTGGCTAAGCAGCCGGCGGGGCTGTCAATCCCTCGTCATGCGCAGAATCATATGAGGGGGCCTGCCATACTGCGGACATGGCAAATACGGCTTGTTTGTAGGGGAGGGGGAGCGCTCGTCAAGCGCATGGAACGCAATCTAGCGACAGTGTCTTTAAATCCTAACCGTTAAAGAACTTTTTTGTGCTCGTTCTGCTCGTGCCTGTATAACTGTGCTCCATGCCACTTGCTCACGGTCCCCGTTCTTGTTGCAGGCACCGTCAACGCCAACGGCGAGACGAAGCGGCAGCGGACGTCCTACACCCGCTACCAGACCCTGGAGCTGGAGAAGGAGTTCCACTTCAACCGCTACCTGACGCGTCGCCGGCGCATCGAGATCGCCCACGCGCTCTGCCTCACGGAGAGGCAGATCAAGATCTGGTTCCAGAACAGGCGCATGAAGTGGAAGAAGGAGCACAAGATGGCCAGCATGAACATCGTGCCGTACTACCACAACATGAGCATGTCGGCGATGACGAACTACGGCGGGTACCCGTCCCCGCACCAGTTCGCACCCCCCGCGCACCACGCGCAGTTCACGCACCTGACCACCTAGTATTAGACCGCCGTCTCAATGGGCCTCGGCCTGGGCGCGGCGGGCGCGGTCTCCAGAGCCCCCGCCGCCCCCAGCGCGGCCGCCCCCGGAGCCGCCCCCGGAGGGGCCCACGCCACCGCCGCCGCCCCCTGCGGACCCATTGACCCCGACGGCGTACTCAAGTACAGCCCCTCGCCGCAGCCCGGCGAGGAGTACTGGTGAGGACCCCACCAGTGTGACGTGTGTGATAAAAAAAAGGACGCTCTCGGGCGGGTTGAGTAGTGTTACAGAAGAGTGATTACTACTATACGTTACGTAGGGACGATTTTCACATAACGCCCTAGGGGTGTTATACCTTATTCTACTAGTCACATTACAAAAAAAATGAGGTTGAAGAAGAGGACTTTTTAATTGGGGATTTCAGACGGACTCGGTGTAGTTTCTTAATCCCGTTATAATTCTTTTTTACCAGATGATGTGTGAGAATGTGATGATTCTTTTGGTTCGGCAGTAAAACGGTTTGCAAAAGCTGAACGACCACGTCGGTGGGAAGACTGTTTAACGAGACATGCCAAAACTGGCTAAAACTCTGGATGTAATTTAAAAGATTAAATATATTTGGCATGTTATCTTTTTTTGTTTTTTTGTTTTTTGGCCATCTGAAATGTTTCCAAATTGTCAACCCTTTAAGCTCACCAACCAGTTGTTAAGCTTTTGATTTGTATCGCTGTGTTTGTGTATCTGGAATGTGATATTTGATATTTTGTGCACATATAGCTGAATTGATGTAGTTAATTTGGTTTGAACATGTCTAACAGTGATATTAGTTGTCTACAGATAGATTTATATACTCGAATAGTGTCAAAGCTTCATACAAAACTTAAATGACAAGTTCATGTGTTATTTATGAGACACAGGCAGACGTGAACGTACCTTCATGCTTAATTGTGAATTGTCATGTTTTAGATCTTTTGACTGCTTTTACCTACTTTATGTAAATGTTTGGTAACATTCCATTAATGTCTTTGTTTAGGCTTAGACACATCTTTTAAGGGAAAAAAAGATTTAAAAAAAAAGACACTGCTTTGAAAGAGGCGTGTCAGCAACAGTTGCATTGGACAACAATTATATACCCTATGGCGGGTTGTCGTCATATGTTTATTTGTCAAATTTGCCGGAGAAAGGTGCGAGTGACTAAAATATGTAACATCATTCAAACACGAAAGTTCAGTTCATGCCAGAGCAACAGTATCGTTTTTCTTGCTAAATGAAATTGGAAAGGACACGGTCTTCACGTTAAATCTAAGATTTATTGAAGGAGATTTTTGGCCTATTCGAGTAATGATACTCGTTGCTCCAAGCATACGCATGGCGCACCAATTGGTGCGTTGCAATGATCTCAATTCTGTGAGCTAAATCGCTCGAAAATAAACTTTAGAAACACCTTTGTTTCTTAGAAATGTGTTGTACATTTGTGAAATAGAGTTCGAAACTTATGTTTGTTTGATTCGTTTTTGTTAACAAATTACGTTGTATCATTATTTTTTGTTAAATGTACAGATACTTTTGTCAATGAAAACACGGTTATGTCTTTGAGAAATGTTACGACTTGCTTACATCGAGATAAGAGTTTCATAGTATTTGATTTTTTTTTCAACTTGTGAACACAGAACATACATGTTTTAGCTGTTTCTTACTGTTGATTGTTACGTAAGGCTCAATTTACCATTTTAGAAAATCAGTTGTTGAATGTCTGAAATATATAGTACATTGCGTCAAACCAAATATGAGATTGTGTCACAATCAATGACCCAAATTACATCTTATGTTATAAAAGTAAAGTGCAATCAACAATCTGAGTCATTCTTATACCAAATCTTATAAAATCAGTGTAGAGGTTCGTTTTTTGTTATTTGTTCTTCGATAAACTCGGCACTCATTACTAAGAAGCGTCTCAGTAGGAGGGACAGGAAATTATCCGTACTTCTGACTCCTTAAGACCCAGTATTTTTTATATACATACGATATATATTTTGCATATAGCTTAACTGTGTAGTGATGATTGTGTACACATATTTCATCGTCCTACGGCCCGCTCCTGTGATTTGATAGGACGACCAAATTTTGTCATAATTGTTTTATTATTATTTATCTATTGTTTTATTCTGTAAAATGTTTCAACCCTTACAAATAATGATTATAATTATTATAGAAAAGTCGTGAAGTGTCTATACTGTGTACAAAACAGATTTTATGAAAATAAAAAGTGCAATAAGATCCAAGCGTTCCAGAAACAAACCACCGTGTCCATTTATTTCCAGCAAACAACGCCGCAAAACAAAAGAGACTAAAAGACACAAACTATGAGGCCTCACTGGACCGCCAAGCACCAAGGCGCCTCTTCGGTTATTTGTTTCAGGGCAATAACTTGGTCGGCCTCAGTGGAATGCCAGCCGGGGAGTCAGCGCCACGGGCCCCACCCCTTCGCCTTCACTCCGTGACTAAAACCACGTCGACGCGCGACCGGAGGCGCGCGCGCTCGCGCGCGAAAAGCGTCGGACGCGCACTTTGGGAGCCTTGTGTGTCGGGAAAAACTGCACGGGCAAATTTACAAAAGGAATCGTGCTCATTGCCACCGATGCCATCAGGTGCATGCGAACGCATTCGGCGCCAGAGGGAGGATACACTACCCCGGCGCTTTGCACGAGGGGCTGGGCCCCACGACCATCCATCACCCATGCATTCAATACACGGCATCGAGGTTCCTCTCTCTCTCTCTCTCTCTCTCTCTCTCTCTCTCTCTC